TACTTGTACAAGGTAAACAAATACACTAGTTGTAAATAATAATAATAATAATAATAATATATTTATTTGCTTAAAACATGGTATAAAATAGGTGTTACAAAAATATGGTTGAAGTACAACATGTTTTGCTAATATTTAAATAGCATGCAAAATCAGGAAAAGTTCTAAAATTAACATCCTAGGCGTGAGGTTAATTTCCTCTGCATGAAATCACTTATAGAATAGTAGTTTTGTTCATTAAGCCATTTGTGCAATTTACGCTTAAATAGATTTATATTAAGACATTTCAAATCATTCGGTATATTGTTATAGATACGGATACACATAGCCAAGCAATTCTTATTATATTTTGCTGATCTAGGAAAGTCATTTAGTACAAGTCTAAATGGATCTCTACGATTTCGTGGATTGACATCATTTGCAGTTTTAAATAAATCTTTGTTTTTTGTAACGAACATACATACTTCATAAATGTAAAGCGACGGTAATGGTAACAAACCAAGTCTCTTAAATATTGGTTGGCATGACTGATCAGGTTGCAAACCGTACATAGCCCTTATGCACTTTTTTTGTGCGAGAAATGCCTTATCCCTATCCGTGCTATATCCCCACATTATTAGGCCATAGCGAAGCAATGATTCTACATGTGCATGATAAGCCATTATTGCTGTATTTAAGTTTGTAATATTTTTTATTTGCTTAAGTGCATACACAAATTTATTTACCCTAACAGATACATGTTCAACGTGGTCCTTCCAATTCATATTTTCATCTATAATTAAGCCCAGAAATTTTGTTTCACCTACTCTTTTAACTTTTGGTATCGTTAGGTTGATGTTATGTTTTGTAGTATTTGATTTATTGAATTGTATGTAAACTGACTTGTCCAAATTTATTTTTAATTTATTATTATCTAACCAATCTATTAATTTATCTATTGTGTTGTTAACATCAAGCGCGTGGTCATTTGTTGTGTTTCCGTTCTTACGCGTTGCAACTATAATCGATATGTCGTCAGCAAAAAGAACACATTTATGGTTGGTGATATTTACGACATCGTTTATGTACAACAGGAATAAAATAGGCCCCAGCACGCTACCTTGCGGTACACCACGCCTGACATTTTTGTATTCTGATATTGATGGTGTAAGTATCATATTTTCATCAATTTTTGATATTGTTACACATTGTTGTCTGTCGCTAAGGTATGAAGCTATCCAGTGATAAGTAGGACCTCTTATCCCATATTTTTCAATTTTGTTTAACAATATGTCATGTGAAACGAGATCAAAGGCTTTTGATAGATCAAAAAACAAGCCAGTGGTCAGATAATTATTGTTTAAGTTTGTTAGAATTGTGCTTATGGTACTATAAATGGCTAGAGTGGTAGATTTTTGTTTTTGAAATCCATATTGATCTTTTTGAATGATATTGTATTTGTCACAGAAATTCACTAGACGTTTGTACATACATTTTTCGTATACCTTGGACAGTATAGGTATCAGGGTTATAGGACGATAATTATTTATGTTGTTTCGTTCTCCTTTTTTGAACAATGGTTTTACGGTCGATAGTTTAAGCGCAGCTGGGAAAATCGCTTGCGAGAATGATAAATTTATCAGATACGTAAGGATTTCAACTAACACATCCTTGCATGATTTTATTAATTTTGTACCCAGCTCATCATATCCGGACGCGTTCGTATTTTTTAGAGACATTATTTCTTGTCTAACTTCATTTGGTAACATTGGTTTAAGGAATATTGAGTTAGGAATTAATGTTTTATTGTTGTTATACGTGTAGTTGTTTGTTGTAACATGTCCTAGATTAATGTAGTGGTTGTTAAAAGTAGTTGCTATTTCTTTGGGATTTGTAATAACTTTACTTTCCATATTTATGTTATCTATGTTATGTTTAATAGTGTTGTTATTAATTTCGTTATTAATAATTGTCCAAGTAGCTTTACACTTATTATCATTTTGTTTTATATATTTAATATTAGTATTTTTTTTAGAATTGTATATACATTTTTGTAGAATTTTGGCATAGGTTAAATACTTATTTTTATTCAATGTATTTTTGTTTTCATAATATTGAAACCGCAACTTTCTTTTCATTTTACAGCTTCGCTTTAATCCCTTACTTATCCACTTTTGTTTCCCTTTATCGCACATATTAACTTTAATTTTGTTTTCGGGAAAACAGAGCTTATGAAATAAACATAATAAGTCATGAAATTTGCTAAACGCTGTATTCGAGTCATTTTCAGTGTATACTTCAGACCATGATAGATTTCCTAGACATTCTTTGAATTTAAGAATGTTGGCGGAGCTGTAATTTCTTCTGATGATGTAGTATATTGGAGGTTTTTGTGATTTGTTTTTAATGGGAAAGCTAAGTATCTGGGCCGTGTCATGATCTGATAGATGTAATGGCAGAACTGTTGCAGACGCACCTAATACATTGCTCAGGATGTGGTCAATACATGATAACTTGCGTGTAGGCACATCGATATGTATTTTCAAGTAATGGTTATTGCATAAGTTCTGAAAATCAGATGTGATGTTATTCTTTTTTAAGGTGTTGATATTGAAATCTCCAGTTATTACTATACGTTTTTTTGTTTTATATTTTTTAAATAAAGAATTTAAAAGGTTGTTTAGTTTTGACAAGAATTGACTAGGGTCCGACTGAGGAGTTCTATAAATACAGATTATTATTAGGTTATTATGTGGCACCTCTATACCACATGCCTCAAAGGTATGTTGTGATGCATGTTCTTTAACAAGTGGAATTTTCATGCACATAATTGTGTTTTTCACTAGGATACAAGTTCCACCTCTTTGCTTATCCCTACAGAAACTATCAACCATGGTATAGCTATGAAGTTTTACGTAGCACTCATAGCCTTTTTTGATAAAAGTTTCAGAGAGGCATATTACGTCGGGTTCATTTAAGTCCTTTTGTAGCTCCTTTAAAGTTATTTCAAGGAGTTCTTGCTTAGATAGTAGGCTGGCTATGTTTTGGTGTAATATTCTAAATACTAATCTAGGAGAGGTGTCAGCAAAAAGTGTATTAGTTCCGAAAAAACGTGTTATTTCTTTTTATTATAGGGAAGTAGAAGGGTATAGTACCCTTACTCTTATTTTTTCCAGGTGCTTGTACATTGGTATTTGGTTGGTGTATATTTACATTTTCAAGGCGGTTAAAATAATAAGGTATGGTCCCTTTTTTTGGTTCACATGCGCCAGTATTTGGTTTGTTACTTGGTTTGTTACACATTAGTTGTCTAAGAGCTTTAGGGTTAAGATATTTTGCACTATAATCACTATAATCCACTAAGTAATTGATTGAAGCACTAATGTTATACAAGTTGTTGAATTTACTGTTCACAAAATTACAATTTTTATATTTAACACATATATTTTTTATAGCTTTATTTAATTTAATAGTATCTAGATAATAGTTTTTTGCAACACTTAACACTATAATGGTATTATCATGAAATTTATGTAAAATATGTCTCAACTGTGACAATATGTTTCTTGCATTATGATCATTTTCTCCCACGTTTACTATAAGTTTGTCACCCGGTTTCATTTCAAGGTGCTCGCAGTTTTTTACGATTTCGCTAGTCATTGCATTTGGTTTCGTTTCAGCAATTATCCTGTATTTGTCGTACTTGGTACTCCGGCGTGAGGACATAATCGTTGCAGCCAGGCCCACACATTGTTGGGCACCGAAAATATATATTGATTTATTTGGTTGTTTGACGTAATAGGAGGTCGGTGGGTAAATTATTTTCGATTGTGTTGACAGCAGAGTACTGGTTTCATTGCCATATATCGTATCTGTATTTAGACTATTGTTACGTAGACGTTGAGTTAAGGATATTATTTGTTGAGTGAGATCAGCGATTTCTTGTTCCGCGGCGTTCAGCTGTTGTTGGAGACTTTGAATCTTTCGTTCCAGTTTTCGTTAAAACCTACATATAATTATAATTATCTACTTCTACACATATTTACTCAACTTTATGTTTAAAACTAATTCCTATGAATTTAAATGAAAACAAACAAAGCGGTCGCACATCACATGAAAACAATATGGCCGAAAATATTGGATGGATGAAGTCGTTACGAAAAGTCAATTAAATGTTTATTATAAAAAATATAGGTACCTAAAACATTAAAGCAAAAAATAGTTTAATAAAAAAAACAAAACGTTAATTTTAAGAAGTGATATGGCATTGCATCATCGTCTTATTATTACTAACCAATATTTTCTACGACGAAACATTTCTTCATAATAATTTGAAACTTTGAAAGTAGCGGAAACTTAACGTTTCGCCAACTTCCTTTTAACTTATACAATATTAAAGTCAACTCCTCGTTTAAAATTTCTATAAACCGATATGGCGTAAAAATATTACGCTTTAATTAAAACACCTGAAACTTATTTTAGTACGCATTTATAGAAAAAAAAGCATTACCTTGGTCTATCGAACGTGTTCAGAAGATTTAACAAAAATGTCAATAGATGGCGCTGGTCGACTTCATTCCTTAGTACTTTACGGTAGATAGATTTTATCTTAAGAATACAATAACTTGTTTTATTGATTTTTATCATGTACTTTTTTTCTAGAATTCTTGATAAAATACGATCGTTTTCCAAGTGATGAACGAATGATCCTCTAGTTTTTTAGTTGGCAACACTGCACCCTAGCAGGAATCACGTAGTAAATTTTTGCGTTTATGAATGGTTATTCTGTGACGTGCATATACATATACGATCGAATTGAGAACCTCCTTTTTTTGAAGTCGGTTAAAAATCGGCCTTTACGCTCAAATACTGAAAGGCTACTGAATTTTAAGTTGTACTTAGATATCGTGCCATCATTTTACAAAGAATTTGTAGTGACGCGCGACGTAAAATTGGGTTGCGTTTGAGTATTTCGACATTAGATCACAATATAATGTCCACATATGAATGAAACACAGAAATAGTCGAAAAAAATATTTATTCCGTTATGAATATAAGCTGTCATTACAATACAAGTCATTAATACATTATTGTACTTCGCAGAACAAATATATGAACACAATGTTTCAGTTAGAATCAGAACGTTATTGCTTTACACCTAGTCAAAGAACATCTTATTACTCTTATAATGTTAAGTACCGATCACTTAAAATAAAGGGTGGAAGAAATGCATCATAGAGTACGAAGGGCTAAGTAGACTCGTCAACACAGCACATTTTAACCAATACCATTAGTACTATAGGGTGCGAACTGAGCTAGCTACCTATTACAAGTCCCTTGTAACTTTTGCCTGGGACTTCGTCTACTTATGATAATAAGTTATGGCAGAATTTGAGGTTTATTATCATGTGGGATCAATTCTAAACTCATACTTTTGCTGAAATACGAGACAATTTATACTTTAATCGAAACTGCCGAGTAAGAAATCGTGCTCGGTACTAGCGCTTGTGTCTACTCGACCAGCGACGCAGACTATCTATTGGAGATTTTACCAGAGGTTCATATTACTAAGTGAAGACAAAATATCAAATCGACCTTAGTTAAAGGTTCAACAATGATTACGATAGAAAATCGCATATTAATTTGATAGATTTTCAACTTTATTACAACAAAATCGTTAAATTTCTGATTTAACTCCAGTCCCGCACAATTATCCTCATTTTTTATACAAGGCAATGTCTATGAATCTTTATTATTATTATTATTTATTAACTCATCCACACTTGGTTTCTTTCAAGATCACCACGCTAAAAAATTCTACAAATAAATGCCTGATTTTGGAATGTTCAATAACTTTGTCTCAAAAACAAATGCATAAAAAAGGTCTTGCATTTCCTCTACCCAATATCTAGAAATACGTATCATACAAAAAAAATATTAATTTTAATAAATGCTAATACGTACATAGATACAATACACTACAAAATATTTCAATTCATTGCAATGTACGAAAAAAATACAATAGTAAAAAAAATCATAAGAAAATATTCTAGATCATTCGACAGGTTATTTATTGTAGTATTCGCTGGAACCTAACTTTGGTTTTGTTGTTAGAAACTAAAATACTTATAAACTAAGTTATGTATTAACAAAGTAGTAATGCCACAGAGATTCGATATTAAATAGCTAAGTCTATTCAGTATAAAAAGTATGCAAAAGCAACTTGAACCTTCTTGGATAAAAAAATACAGATCTGACATTAACACTTCAAAAGTTTGTAATCTATGCTGCAAATGTTACCAGCCTCAAAATATAAAATTTTGTATCACATATTAGATAAAAACGTTAATTACTCATTAACATTGTTTAATAGCTTTCCTAGTTAATAGCTGCGTGGAATATTAAGTGTCAAATGAAGAGAATAAAGAAAATAAGTTTACAAACGCTGTTGTGGGCAACTAAATACGTAAGTTACGTAATGTACAGATTGTTACAATATTCGAGACCATTTTATTTGTCTATATAAAAACGGGACTATTTCAATTCAATACTTTTTCTACTTTTTGTATGGAAGACTTCGGACTGGCTGAAAACTTCAACACTTTCTTCTTATTCTTATTTTAAACAACGTTTCTGAGTAAAACGGTTACAGTAATGCCAACAAGACGAAATTAATTCCCTCACACAAAAATCAACCTTATTAATTTAGGAACTAGGTTGAGTTTTAAATGACAAACTGAGAATCAATGAAAACTGAACTATGTCACACAATTGTAAGATTCATTTTCCAAAGCAATCTCGTCTCGTTGGCTTTACTCTACCTTATTTAGAACTCGTCGTGGCGAGCGAGGGCTTCACCGAAATCTGTGGCTTGGGAGCCTACAAATAGGTCGTACTTTTCTAAGATTTCGTCTTTAGTGAGTTTTTCATCGGCATCTGTGTCTGCCTCGAAGACTAGATGTCTCGCTTCTGCCTCAGCGTGGTCGAACTCTGGAGGTGCGATCCAATCTTTCACTTCGTTCTCATCCATGAAACCGTCCTTGTTCGTGTCTCTGTTGAAGAACATGTTATTACTAATATGTTTATGTAATTAATTATAATCTGTGTATCTAATATCTGTAACTAGTGGGTGGAGGATGACCATTTTCGTCTGGAATTGCCACTTTTTGAAACTAAGGTTTGGGTTAAGGCTGGTAAAACCGAAAATTGTAATAGTAGATTTTTTGCGCTACTCTTTAATTAATGCTAAGTAGTAGTACTTATTACAACTATGCCCATATGGCAGCCAAAAGAATCAGAATTCAATGATTTTGCAATCTTTATTAACACTGAATGAAACCTTATATCAATTCCTATCAATGTCTTAAAGCTTGAGAAATTCATTAATGAATTTAATAATATTGTTTGATACGGACCTTAGTTATATTTATGATTATTTACTATTACATACAAAAAATATTCTAATGTCTTTTGTTTCTGAATTTAACAAGTCAATAGACTAAGTGATTGGGTTTAAGCATAAAAAATAGATCCAACATTAAAGAAATTAAATTAGACTACACATTTTGCATAACAAAAACTTCTGTATAGAAAAAATACAAAATGAATGCGACATAATTATCAACACTGTATCTATTTAGTTGCTAACTTTGATAACCATCTACGACACAAAAACATCAATAAACCAAGACCACAAATTCCCGATGCCATTTATAAATTAAATAGAGCAACAAAAATGTATGTTAATCAACTGCCAAGCGACCAGTGTCAATACAATTCAATGGGGCTAAATTGATATCATTGCGGTAACCGCCGCAGATTCATTGCCGTGATTTGTTGACTTATTACAAGTGAATGACTGTTGCAAAAGAGCAATGAACTATTTAATATGAGGTATTTGATATTTTGTGACTTTGGATGTTTCTAGTTTCAGGTATTTGTTATATTATTGACATTGTGAGGAGTATGGCTAACAATGCCAAAGCATTTCACAGTCCAAGGAAAGGTAGAGGTGCACAAATAAAATGTTATGCCCTACGTTTCACTTTAAACAAAACTAACTTTACGAATCCTGTGTAATAAAAAGGCTCGGCAAAGCAATACTGAATGGATACACAATTCATAGCATTTGAAGGTTTTAAAGGATATTGTCTGGACTTAGGTGAAGACCCTAAGAACCATGTATGTCACAGTGGACCAATGAGGCAGTCATGGCATCTTAGGATTCTCAAAGAATTTTTCTTTGAAGAGTCATCTTTTTTAAGAACTTTTCCTTAGGAGTTTTTCAATGCTTATTCCGATAATATCTGCATTATTCCTTTATAACATAAAGTTATATGCACATCATCAACTAACCTGTATCCATTGAACTGTTCCCTCTCCTGTTTGACCCAGTCGGGTTCGTCCTCATCCTCGCCGTCCTCCGGCTTGTACATGTCGCCGATGTACTCTTCTATAGACACCTTACCGTTCTGTAATGTGGAGATATATGTAATGTAATATCGATACTGGGTGTAGCATTAATGGGTGTAATCGCTTAGGTACTTTAAAGTATTAAGAACTGACTGCATTGATAGCGGAATAGATTCGAGATTTGATTCCCTCGTTGTTTCAATTACGGTTTTCGGTTTCTGAAGATCTTAAGAATCGAATGGAGTGCAGGGTTGAGATTGTATCGTTAGGCTCCCTACTAAAAATAGGTAGAACGATGGGATTACTAAACCAAACGTCATAACGTTTATAACACATTATAAGACGACATAATTTAGTTTAACCAAATCCTTAACTACTACAAGCGCTCGAATCAACTCCACTACCTTATGTATGTTTCATCTACATTAATTAATAACCTTATCTTACCTGTGTTATAATTACCTGGTCTTTATCAATGTCCTCCATAGTCTCTAGCACAACCACGTCCCTCATTTCCGAGTGATCCTCTGGGTGTAAGAAGGCCGCGAACTCCGTTTGGTTCAACGCATCGTTTTGGTCCGCATCTGAAGTATTAAACACACATTATGTCAAAACTTTATGTATAGTGTAGGTGTTTGTTATGGCATTAGCTCTTCATATGACGTAAATTATTAAAGAATCGTGTTGTTGATCTAGTGGCAAGTAATTACTAGGTTCTCCTACAATATAGATAGAACTTAGAGTTCGTTAGTCGAACATGTAAAGATTCAACCTACTTCCGCTACCAAAAAAAATATTATTTTCTAATAATCATGACAAACAGTCTTGTGTAGAGGAGAGGAGACGTATTGACTCATGAGCTGTTCTGCCAATGATTTCGAGAGTCTCTACAACAGCACAGAATTATAATCATGCTTGTCTTACAATACAATAGATCTAAAAACAGACCTAGCAAAAAGGCCACTTCTGTAAATCCTTTAAACAATATCAATGGTTGTATCCTCTATCTAAACAAGTTATTAATAAAATACCTTTCAATTACCTACGGTAACTGTTTTTTTTTTTTTTTAAGGGGGAAAATCATCGAATGACTGCTCCCGCCTGGGTGAGGCGGGAGGGAGTGTCAGACTCTTACTGACTAAAAACCACCCCGTTCCTTCTCCTGCACGTCGAGCCGGAGCCCCGGTTACCCGTTAGGTTCTCCGCGACACCTACTGTAACTATAGCAATCACAGAAATTACCAACACGTAGGGCAAGGTATAACAATGATTATTTACCGCCTACAAAGCCAACAATGACCCATTTCCTTCAATTGGCTTACTACACTACTGCCAATAACAATAAACAGGTCATATAATACATGTATGTACGTCTTACGCAATGAACGTACTTGTGCACATTTCTACCGTAGGTAATGTTTGGTAGTAAAGCTATGTTTAGACATTAGTTTTCTGCACTGCTTTTACTTGCGTTTGAGTTATACATATAACAAAGTTTATTATGCATCGTTAGTCGAGCGGTCGCAACTCCGCCTTAAATCTCATGTAATAAATAAACTCATTACACAGATTTGAAAACCTTAAAAATCCCTTGTTCTAGTTCAGTAATGCAACCCAATACCTCTTATTCGGCAAATAAAATAATTTTTATGAACGGATGATTCTTACCGGCGTAAGTCCACCTCCTGCGATCTCTCTTCAGGAGGTTGGAGTATGTGAAACCTTCGCTGTTGGGAGTCTTCAGCTCCTTGGGATCCATCTCATCCATGAAGCCGTAGACATTCTTTCTGTATGCCTGTCGATTGAGAAATGGAGGATTAATACTTAATTGTAAACCTTATTTTTAAAGAACCTTACTCCGACTCCATGCTACTATTACTGAGATATTCCCGAATAGTCAAAAAATCCCTAAAAGATTCCCCTAGCTCGATAGTCGCTCTTCTAATATTCGACTAACGAGGCAGTGTACTAATTGTTCATAGTTTATAAAATGTAGCCTACAATATAATAGCTCGCCTATGTCCATTCACAAACCAGGCATAATAATAATAATTAATTTTATTATACCAAAAAGGAACATGATAAGAGCTTGAGATAACCATAAAACTAAACTTTGATAACGTCATGTCTCTCGTTATCACATTTAAAAACTGACGTGTCTGTATACAATAGATGCCTATAATTAAATGGTATATGAACATTTTGTTTTGCTCAATTAATTTCAGCTTTATAATCAACGAGATAGCGATTAAATTAAATTGTTGTTGAAATAATGTGTGGTGAATTATACCGCATTGTTATTTAATTACCAACCAAGTTATAAGTACCTACGATAAAAAATTAAATTGAAAGCCTTGTTGCAAAAACAGACTTAATACCAACATATTCCTTGTGCTAATGCAACTGTTACGTACAAAATATGCGATCAGGCCATACAAAGAACTATTGTGGTGCGATCTTAGCGAATCTCAAATGGCGCAGAATCTGAAAAAAAATCTCTCGCAGCCAATAATAGCACTGTACTGGTGATGTCACTGGCTAAACGTGTCCCAAACATCTGCCTACTATCCCTTTTTTTTTCTCCTGGCCTTTGATGAGGGTTGCCTTTTTTTTTATCCTTTTGTCCTGTATCCCTATGGCTACCTATATTGGCTAGTGAATACACAAAGAGACCTCACGGTACGTCCCTGTCTATATTCATGTGTGAACACAAAATATGCGCTATTCTCTCACCTCCCAAGGAATGACGTCATCATTATTAGGATTGTGCTGTCTCCAGTGGCGGTCGACATCTTCATTGATGTACCGCTTCTGAGTGTACCTGATCCAATCCTTTAGTTCCACCAGCGACACGAACCCGTCCTTGTCCGCGTCAATCTTGTCCACGATGATTCTAGAAGGATTTAATCAAATTATTCACAGACGCGCCTGATAGCGAGGTCACTGAACTTTCGTAGATTAGCTTTTTATGTGCCTATGTCTACTCTATGTGTATTTTATACTTTTATGATGATTTTGTGAGATAATTCATAATTATAAAGGTAATCAATAATTAATAAACACAGATCTGCATAATAAATAGGACGAGAAATCTTGATTAACTCCTCGAGCACCGTCATTATAGACACAATTAAAGAACAATAGGTTGCGGTCACCGGTGACCGCTTGGTGTTTGACAGTTTAATGCAGTTTTTAAAATTGTTTTGGTATCTAGAGATTTATGGTTGTTTCGATTATACACATTACTAGGTATTGCAAGCAGTTCATCCCACCATAACAGAATAAAAATTAACCTATTGGTTGATCCAAACTTCACTCTATGCTATGTCTCAGTGTAAAATTATGTTCAGATCCACTCAATAATTCTAATTTAAAAGAGTAACAACTTTTGCATTCACAATAATGTGAATAGGATGTCCTGTGGTCTCAGAACACATCAGTGTTCTATGCTCGTAGTTTCCTATTTCAACTTCTATTATACATTCTACACTAAAAAACAAACTTTTAATCTATGGCAAAAACGACAAAAAAAAGCAGCCCAATAATATTGTGCTGGCTAATAGCACATTTTATGTGTACCCATATAATGCTTAATTAGAAACCATATGTTGCTACGCTAATTGAATCTGATAAAACTTTTACTATTGCCATCTAAAATTGAATTACAAGAATTCATTATGTATACATTAAAAGCTAATCAAGTTGACTTGATTAAATTATTTTTGTTTAACTTCAATTAGTATCGACAAGGTTATTTTTAAGTGAATAAGATTTGATAAAATATGATTTTTTTAGTTTTAATTATCAATCTCTAATGGTTATTATAAACTTCTTGGTGCGCATAAAATCACATTAATTTGGAGGACCTGTTTGTTTACTCAAAACACTTGCATATCTGCCTATCCATTTACTAGGAGCCAAATATGGTCACAATTACAGCATCCTCTGACAATATATATATTTTAGGATGGAGTCAATATAATAATGTACCTTAACATAGTAATAATAAGTAGTTTATTTGGATAAACCTGGCTGCAAAAAAATATGTGCATTCCTTGAAAAAAAAATTTAAAGGACCACCTACATGAATACTCTTAAAAAAAAAATTAGATACATTCCATATTATAAAGTGGTAGATTTACTCAAATTTACACCTAAATAGTATTTTAAAAATATCAAACATGTACACAGAGTGTCTGAGCTGTTATCTGTTAGTTTAACTAACCCACATAGTGTGGGTGAGATCATTGACACACTGAGATAATCTTAAGATGCAGGAAATTACATGATTTCTTCTCAATAGAAGTTACTGGAATACTCTAAATTTTTTTATGATTACTGTTATTTACATTAAAAATACCATAACATTTTCATTTTACATCAAACTTTATATCCTACACTGTTGTGTTGATCAAATTAAGCTAATACACTAATTTATTGGGATAAATGTTTTAGCTACTTTTCTTTCACTAAATTCCATTACAAATGATTATGATCGAAACAAATAAAATAAAATGATAATAGTAAATAATACTCAATCGACAAAATAGGTTTGCTATTCTAGAGTTATCAAGTTACTGCGAAAAAAATATGTTCAGTGAGTATACAGCAAAACTTAAACGTAAAATAGTTGTAAAGAGGAAGTAAAAGTTGTCACTCACCCCAATCTCCTTTTGCTCTCTTCAGGAGGCAGCTGATCAAATGTTTTGGCCTGATCTTCGCCTAAAAAGGCATCGTGATCAAACTGCTTGTTATGGTGCTCGTTTTTAAAGTGTTCGGCCTCCGAAAGACGGTCCATTATCCGCTTTGTTTCCTCAGGAGTCGGCACGCCGGCAAACACAGCCGACACGGCCAAAGCAACAAACAATGATCTCAGCATTTTATCTGTTTAAGGACAATATTAAAATCTTCTTAAACTCAAAACACTAATTAAAATTCTATTAAATCCGTCTAATTAAAATGTATGTTGCAAATTCAAAAGTTAACTAAAACAAAACACTACTCGAATATGAGTCCGCTAAACTAATCATTAGGACACGTACCCGTTGGTTGCTGCCACGTCAACACGACCACGTTAACTTCCTCGTTCCCGGAATGATAAAACAATCGGGATGAATATTACCGGATCGGAACAGAATCGCGGGAGCCACAAGCTGAACGAGAAAAGCACAAAACGCAAGATGCTGCGATTTTTGTGCGTTCCGAAACCTTGAATAAACACTTATGTCAAAACAATGTTTTAATTTTTTTTAATATTTAGATTATAATAACATAACCTACCGGTAAAAAAATGGTTATATTTTTAAATAACAATAAATTATAAAAAAAAGTTTACTAAAATTAACTCATGAAAAACCAAAAGATAAACCGCTTTGTATTCTACAAAGCCATTTATTTTTTACTACCACGTATAAAAATACTGGTTTCGAATGTTTCTGAACTAATCTGTCACATCTGACAGAATGACAGAAATGAGACTCAAATAAACTCGCAAATAAACATCTATGCTCAATGCAGATAAAAAATACAAACTTCTCATAGCAAGTCATCTCAATTTAAACATCTATGCTCAATGCAGATAAAAAATACAAACTTCTCATAGCAAGTCATCTCAATTCATCCTTTTAAAATGTAAAAAATTATAATATTCTATTAATTTTATCCATCCCTGGTTTCAATTAAATATTTAGCTTAGTTAGTTAGCCTCGAATTTTGAAATCAACGATATTTTCACACGATATCAATAACAAGGATCAAGAACATAAAAATCCATACGATTACGCTGTTGTGCGCTGTTTATTCTCCGGACCTTTAGGCTCAGTTGTATAAAGTTGCAAAAATCCACTTTTCACCATCTTGTTGCATGTGGATCTCATTCACATCCTCAAATTCTGCAGTCTCTTAATCTCAATATTCTAATGAGTGAGCGTGTCGAGCGTGAGCCTTTCTATCAAGTCGCTATGTACCGAGCACAATTTAATCGGTTACTCCACCGAATTGTTATTTACCCGACCTGACAATTTTATTTGAGATATTTTGCATTTGCCTTGCACACATTCTGTCATCGCACTTGCGAGTTTGTGTTTTTCACCCACAGATTTCTATATACTAGTTTACCTAACGAAATAAAACGAGAGGTCTCTTTGACACAAACAAATTATATATTTTTTATGATATTTTACAAAAGTCCTTATTTCTTTTCTTTTTAAGTAGGTATGGGATATTTTTCATTTTGTTCTTTCGTTCATAATTTCATTCTATGCCATACATACCTTTTTTTATTTTATTTTTCTACTCTACCTTCTTTACACCCAAGTGCTACTCTACATCTTTACTTGTCTGTGGTTATGTCATAATCGTAACTGTTGTGCTTATTTTGCCCATTTCCAAAAGAAATTCCAATTATGTTTCTAGAAATAAGTGCAGCACATTTGTGAATAAACAATAATTAACCGTGACGACCGTATATTCAGTGTATAAGTTGCTAAAACAGAATTGCAAATGTCAATATGTCAGGATCTCGGCCTTAATTTCCAACATAGAATGGTGAGAGAAATGCATGTTTAATTGTATGTTAATTAATCATCTAAGTGCGATTACCCGTTAACGATTGAATCAGGATATTGGCTGTTTAGCCACACACCCAAAATACGCCAACATCGATACAAAACTGTTGGTATCGCAACGTCTGATTAATGTCGGCATTTTTAATGGATTTGTGCTAAGTGGTGCATTCGTTTATATTTCAGGGCGCAAATATATCACAACTAGAAAGAGATATTGGGTCTGAGCAGTTCCCACCGAACGAGCATTATTTTGGTTTAGTTAATGTAAGTTTTTCAAACTAATATTCCTATCAAATAAGATTAATTTGAAATAGAAAACTTTGAATATTTTATAGGTATTATTTTTTATAAGTCTTTAGTATTTACTTCAGAAATTTAAAATAAATCAAGTTAATTCCTCAACCTTCAATGAGATTAATTTTCACATACACATGTTTTATTTAACTTGATTTCCTGTGTCCTCAGACAACAATAAGGAATATGATGAACAAGATAAGGAAATTTCTTATCATCTTTATCTTTTTTCTACAATGATTAAGCGACACAGTAGCAGATGTTGGGTTGCTATGAAAAACTTAGTATCTAACAAGATGATAACAAATTTCCTATTGGAACTAAACTAGAAACTATTTAAAATTGATTGCCCGCATGATTGTTACACTTAAATTCTTCACAGTTTATAGTTCCGCAAACTAATTTGTAATTTATTTTCAGTTTGGCAATACCTGTTACAGTAATTCTGTGTTACAAGCATTGTATTTCTGTCGCCCATTCAGAGAGAAGGTGCTTGAGTATAAAGCCAAGAATAAAAGAACTAAAGAAACCCTTCTAACATGCCTCGCAGATTTGTTTTATAGCATTGCAACACAGAAGAAGAAAGTAGGTTCCATAGCGCCTAAAAAGTTTATTGCTAGATTGAGAAAGGAAAAAGGTAAGCAACTCAAGTAAAGCTTTACATTATTAACTTAATGCCCAAATCCAAGTCATGTAGCACAAACAGGTTTACTGTTAAACTAAAACATATTATTTGTAGCTCTCATAACTACAAAAATCTGGAACAATGTAATCTACAGATGTACTCAAAAGTTACATCTTTATCAATGTGGCAGACATCAAGAATCATAAGTATGGTTCATAACATTTTACTAATGAATCTTGTCCTTTTTATTGCAGAAGAGTTTGATAATTATATGCAACAAGATGCTCATGAATTTCTCAACTTTCTAATCAACCACATTAATGAAATTATTTTAGGTAAGTTTATTATATCATCAATTCATGTCTTTGACTGTCGATCATCATATTCAGATTTCAACCAAAGGTATACCTCACACTAAAAATTGTCATTCATAGGAATTGCAACCGGCAGTTATATAGCAAACGATTGCTTAGCCACTGCATGTGCGTTAGTTGCACAATTTACAATTGCCACTTTTATAATTTATTTCTAAATCTCAATAATCCATCCTAAATTGCCTATAGAAAATCGCTATTTGTGATAAGGCTGTCCACCATTGTACTCTGTACAACAGATGATGTAAATGTGTAACAAGAGTTTTATCCATCTACACTTTTTTCTAGCTGAACGCAATCAAAGCACACTGAAAGTACAAAAGAATGCATCTGGAGAGAATGTTACGTGCAACGGTACTGCGCCACAGAACGCGGAACCTACATGGGTGCACGAGATATTCCAAGGCACACTCACCAGTGAGACTCGGTGCCTCAACTGTGAGACTGTTAGCAGCAAGGATGAACATTTCTTCGATTTACAGGTACAGTTAAAATCATTCTTTTCATATTGTATCAGCCACAAGATTCACTGGTAAACATAAAGACTCCCTAAATTCCACATCGGCTTCCTCTGACCTACATCAGGTCATATTTATTTCCACCTCAGTCTGAAGATAATAGATAAATATTTTCATAATGCGTATTCCAGCCATTGTTTTTGTAACTTATCTCAAAATCGAAATCATGGGACATAGGAGACTAAGTTTGAACAACATCCTTTCGACCCCTTCCCTTAGTCAAGCTATTTACTCGGCTTCGGGCATGTTAGTTTTCTTGTTGTTTACCCACAATAAGAAGCGGATGTTTCTTTTCTACCCTTATAAATTTTATCACCGCGCTTATTACGACATAGGATTCGAATATAAATCGAGTACCTATGAACTAGTATCGAATAAGTTTAGTGAGAAGTTAATTTATTAGCAACAATGTAGTTACAATAAATCCAATTTTATTCTTTCAGGTGGACGTTGGTCAAAACACAAGCATAACACATTGTTTGAAATGCTTTAGCGACACAGAAACATTATGCAACGACAACAAGTTTAAATGTGACAATTGTAGCAGCTATCAAGAAGCTCAGAAACGTATGAGAGTGAAGAAACTCCCTCTCATTCTAGCTCTACATCTTAAGAGGTTTAAGTACATGGAACAATATAATAGACATATTAAGGTGTCCCACCGAGTTGTATTCCCTTTGGAGCTGAGATTGTTCAATACGGTGAGTTTAATAGATTCTTATTTATTAGTTATACATTCCTTATACTGGATAATAATAAATATTTGAAATAACAGGAATACTCAATCATAATGGACATTATATGTATTATCATAAAGGTTAGCTATCATGCTATCTATATACTTGGAATTTTACAATAGGAAATTCCTGTTCTGTTATCATCTGGAAAGTAGTGTAGTCACACTTGCGATGAACCATGCAGTTATTTATTATTTACATTTTGATAAATAATGCCCTGCAAGACAAGTGGCCGCAAACGTAACCACCGAGCCCCTTGTTCGCATACCCTCAGTTTCATTCCCACGCACAGCATTGTTGGCGTTTTCAGTTTTTCGGAAATTCTTAATTAGCACAAGTTTTGAAACTGCGCCCATTGCATTATCTGGCAATAGATTCACTGTCTATTACCTGCGGGGGAATTTCACAACTTGATTCCCCCTAGTCCTTTCCATCATCATACCACAAAACAATTGGCGAAGCGTCACCGATTCATGGTGGATGTCCCACCCACATGCACAAAGCTCTTCGCATCAAGCTTCCTTGTGCATACTGCTAAGGAATTCTTTGCCTGTATTTCATGAAAGGTCCTGGGTGTCTTCAAGGCCCAAGTCATTCGTAGACGCATTATCGCTTACCACTAGGCGAGATTCGGTCCATCCAAAATTAAAAATTAAACTTAAAAACTTATAACACCTTTTTCTCTGTCTACCCCCTTTGGGGACAGGCACACGATAGGGTAATGTTGTGATATTAGAGTAGCAATCATTTTTTTTAAGGGGGGATAATCATCGAATGACTGCTCCCGCCTGGGTGAGTCGGGAGGGAGTGTCAGACTATTACTGACCAAAAACCACCCCATTCCTTCTCCTGCACGTCGAGCCGGAGCCCCGGTTACCCGTTAGGTTCTCCGCGACAGAGTAGCAATATAGAAATACATTACCAATTATGTATAGAAGAGATGAATCTGATAGCACAATTGAATACATATATTATAGCATTTTCCCTTACAGTCTGACGATGCAGTGAACCCAGACAGGTTGTATGACTTGGTAGCTGTGGTGGTGCATTGTGGCTCCGGACCCAACCGAGGACACTACATCAGTATTGTGAAGAGCCACGGCTTCTGGCTGCTGTTTGACGACGATATGGTAGATGTGAGTATACCACCATTATTATGCTTTTTTTTACTTTTAACCATTCTCTGTGTAAGAAGAGGCCTTTTCATTACTGTGTGGCAGTAACAGTGATGATGATGAGACACATCTGTCGTTCTGTGAGGTGTATGTTTACCAGAAAGTCCAGCACTTCTGCTAAACACAGACCTCTTGATAATCATGATAATGACATAGACTTTTGTAAACATCACACTATCCTATCTGTCTAAGCTATCCTAGCTTTGTTATTGTACTTCATTTACATAAGGAAAATATATTGAATAAAATAAAGTATTATTTTTTATCTTTTGATTATATCAAATGCTGATATATTCCCCATTTTCAACATTTCTTTGATGTTCATCTTAAGATTACATTATCGTAAGATGAGTTTTTGTTTAACGTATCTAAATATTATGGCACTCCCATTGTTGATATTTACATTCTTATATTATTTAATTGCAGAAAATAGATGCCTCTGCTATAGAAGACTTCTACGGCCTAACTTCTGATATACAGAAATCTTCAGAAACAGGATATATATTATTTTATCAATCTAGAGATGCTAGTTGTTAAGTTTATTCAATTAATTTTAGTAATTTAAATTATTTAAGATAGTGATTATAATAAATCATGTTATCATGCCACGTTTGTTAAAGTTGAAAAGGCATATAATATTATTGAAAATTGTTTAATTCCAATCATTGATTATATATATATTATTATTCATCTTTTAATTGTCATACTGTTGTAAATATATTTCATTTCATTTCCAAATAAAACGTGATCTATCTCCACGTGATTTTATTGTCTTTTATTTTTTTGTATTGGTTGCTAGATAAGCTACCTGCCTAAGGTACCTGCTGCCGCTGAATGTGTACCGGTTCGATTCTCATACAACTAGTACAATGGTACAACTTCATAGGGTGTGATAAACAAATTCAGTTGTGAGCTAATTACTCTAAAGCACTCACGATTCCTTATAAGAACAATATTGTCAGTATAGTTACAAAGATGTCATTGGCCGCAAGAATGACTGCCGATGCCGATCAAGTGTTCTTTTGTTCAATTCTCGAATCGATATATTTAAGTATCCATATTGATTTTAGGAACCTAAAGTAATGGCATTAATACCTACATACCTCTGCCTACTCCATCAGAGATAAAAAGAGTGATGTTATAAAACACTAAATAAAAGTAGGTGATCACATTCTGCGACGCAGCAGTAACTTTTTTATCGACTGTGTCGCCGGCCGCCCGCAACGCCAGGTGATTTTACTAGTGCATCGTCAGCTTATACTTCTAGACTAAGACTTCGCTATTCACTCTATTAAAAGGAGGCCTTGACAGGAAAAGATTGGGAACCTGAATCACTATAACTTGTTTATAGATAAACTAGCTTTTACCCGCGGCTTCGCTCGCGTCAATAAAGGATAAAAAGTAGCCCGTGACATATACCAATACACACAGCGCCATGTATACCAATAATTTTGTTTTCCCTCAAGAATATCAAATTTTCCGGAATAAAAAGTACCCTAATATTTAATCCAGACTTCTAACTTTACGTCTGCAAAAATTCAAAGCAATCTGTTTAGTAGTTACGGCTTGAAAGCGGAACAAACAAACAAACTCACTTTCCGATTTTTAATATTAGTAAGGATTACAAGCTTATAATAGGGTAGTTGCCCTTGCCAGGGTATGAAAATGAAAAAAAGTAATCAGTCAGAAAATGAAAAAAAAATAACCACATAATTTTAAATTTCTCAGATAAGTTAACAATACTTACATTAAAGTTTAGTAGGAGAATGATGTTTCAAAATAATATATCGTTGAAAGAATTCAATTTTGTAAAAAGGAGAAAAAAGTCGAATGTTTTGAAAAAATTACCAGGTTTAGGAAACTACTTCTTATTCATTCAAGTCAACTCTCAATTTAACAGGTAAGCAGTATCAAATATATCAAATACCCAAAAATAAAAAATAGGACTTTCCTTAAAAATATTTATTTTGTTTAAGCTACAAACTCATAGGGGATGGGAGCCAATAACACTGGTTTCTCAGTGCCACTGACAATATGAGCAGGCTTGGGTCCAGCAGGTTGCCTCTTGAGGTTGACGATCTTGCCAGCGGCCTTAGCTTCCTTCAGGAGCCTCTCATTCTCCTTCACCCTCTTGAGGAAGTCCTGTCTGCACTTTGAGTGTTTGATGTGCTCAATGCGGACGTTGATGCGCTTAGGTAGGATCCTTCCACGGACACGCTTGTTCACAATGATGCCCAGAGCGTGTTGTGTGACATTGTAGACACGGCCAGTCTTTCCGTGGTACACTTTGTGGGGCATACCCTTCTGGACTGCACCATTACCCTGAAATTATGGAATCAATATTTTAGAAAATGTATTGAACAGGATCAACAGCCAGACCTAGTTGTTTACAAGACCATGCAAGGTTAGATGACTATCAAAATTTTGGTAATGCTATTCTTGTATTGAAGTAACCGGAGACAACTTATAACGTAGCCTTATATTATAGGTAGTCTTATAAGAATAACACCATAGCCATAGTAAAAAAATATAGCTAGATTCTCCTGAACGCAACATGTTAGTACACATTGTTATGAAATGACATACAATAATCAATGAAATGATTCGAGAACTGAAATTAGTGGGAAATCAGCAAATAGATATTATTAGTTTCACATGAACACTGCAAAGAGACAGTTTTTGATTAGGTAGTACTTATGGAACATACCCTGATGTCAACGATGTCGCCGACTTTGTACACTTTCATGTACGTCGAAAGAGGGATGGTTCCATGAGTGCGGAATCTGCGGGCAAACAAATCCCTAGTTCCGCGGCGATAACCCTTGGAGTTCGTCATTTTTGGGCCTGCAACAAAATCAGTCACCGATCACCGACAGTCACACACAACACGTGGATTTACGATTTTACTAAACAAAAGAAAGTCTTGATGTGAATTATTGATGATATCACAAATTAAATTTCGGAAACATGATTAATGACACAATTTACTATCTTTTATTAGATTTTTCCAATATTTAAGAATATTTTTCTGATATTCACCTTGTGTTACAAAGCTTGACGGATAAAGAAAGAGGTTATGTTAGTCTATGGCTGGTGCTTCGTACAAAGACCACAGACTATATAGTATATCCAATACATCTATAATAGACAGCGGCTTTACATCATGATCACATTCACTAAACTTGCTGTAACAAAATAAAGTAATATGAGTGTAGGCCCTAGATGTGTAAAAGTAATCTTATACTAGAACTGGAAGGCATAAGGTGTAACTTTTATTTTATTTTATACTAAAATGTGTTTTATGACTGCATAAAGTTACGCTACGCTAGCGCATTTGCTTCTACCCGTAATATTTTACTCTCTCTATATTATGTTGCCTAGCCAGGCTTATTAGCTTATTCATAACTTCGGTGATTAGCATGTCTGATGTCAGCATGTGCAAACACAGACATCATAATTTACATCTATTTAATTTTTTTCCCCCAATTATCTCTACTATTCTGCTTTAAAATATTTTTGTTATTTTTTAAATATAACAAGTTCAGTTGCACTGTTTTGTCACTTGACACGTCGGATACGTTGTATTTTAAATCATTTATTTGCTACTTGTTTGCTACCGTATTAGTTTACGTTACGGTTACAAAAAACTAACGAAATACGTTAATTTTTTTATCGATTAGTAGTTCAATGCGTTTTACGGTTGGTATCCCCACGAGTGATTTATGTCAACATTGTCAACGTCGCGGTGGTATTTTATTATTTTACGTGATTAAATAGAATAAATTAGGAAAATTAAGATAAATGTAGTATTTTATTTCAAATTATTATAGTACTTAGCAATATGAATACTTCTGTAGAAGGTATTATTGTGAACAATTGTCAATACGCCCCGATTTACGTGATACAAGATCCTGGCGCCACTCAGGTAATTATTGTTATCATTGTTATATTTACAGATATTTTAACAAATGTTGAAATGACTTTGTTGTATATGTTTGCAGGGGAATACATACGTCCTTGCATCGAATAATGTGGAGTCACCCAAACCAGTCAGTAATAACCTGAAAACATTTTACGAAAACAGCGGAAATATCGAGAATGGGTTAATAAACACAGACACCGGTATCAAACTCAATGTGGTTAAAAAGAAAGAAAGCGTATTGATTGGAAATAACTTAAAGTTGGCGAGCTTTTTGCTACCCAAAAACGAGAATGTAAATAAACAATATGTGGTTGATAACTTTGTTTTAAAACCTACAACAACAACAACGACAACAACTCCAACAGCAAGTAATCCAATACCAATAAACCATCCACTAAATACAGTACCAAAAATAGATATTGATAGAAAGATAGTGAAACTCAAAGAGGTTCCGATCATCAACAGACAGAAATTTTTGCCAAAGATTAAACCAAAAGAGAAGTGAGTATCAGTTTTTTTTTCGATTATAATCATAATCACATTTAGATAAGGTCTGACTCAATGTTGGGTAATAACAACAAATAACAAACAAATAGAACTCTCCGAGAAGGTTTTATTGCTTCTTTTGTTATGTTTGCTTATGATCAGATCCTTAAATGATATACATTTATTTTAAATCCTTTATTAACATCCACTGATGTCATATCATCCCTTAAAAACTGATTCAAACAAACAACACATCTAAATCAAAGGTTTGGGGGATCTCAGTTAAAGGATCTTATCATAAATTAAATCAATTATTTTATGTTTCAGCACACCCACTCGATCCAAACACACATCAGTGCAATTAATAAGATTAGGAGAAACTTATCATAGGTGAATATGTGTAATTTATCATTTATTTGTGAGCAAGACCTTTAATGTACCACCGACATGGTACAAGTCTTCTCACAATGCAATAAACAGACTCAATCTTAACACACTAATGAAATTAGTAAAAACATAAATAAATAATGCATTATCTTGGGTAGGTAGTCGGTAAGTACTACTTGTTTCCCAAGTACCTAAGCGATGGGAAGTTAGCCTTTACTCTGCCTTTTATATATAGGGGATGCAGTAAATTAGGATAAGTTCAAATGGCAAGCACTTAGCGCGCGTTTTGATGCATGTTTATGTATGTAAATGTTGTAAATGCGCGCTTAGCGCTTGCCATCTTAACTTAGGCTAAGACTTTGTGTCTTATGAAGATTGTGGTAGCCTGAAGGTTAACTGTGGAAAACCCGGCAAGTACCAATGTAACTTTTTCCAAGTTACATGTACTTTCTAAGATGAGTTTGACCTAACAGGCTGATATATGGTGAAGGGAAACATTGAGAGAAAACCGGACTTATAATTTCGAATTATAAGTTTGAAATCATCGATCCACCTTGGCAACCATGGTTGGCTCATTCCTTTTCTCTGTGAGAAGAGGTTTTTACTCAGCAGTCAGACAATCATAAGCTGAAGATATGTAACTCATGGAGATCTGCACTCCAGGAGACTGGGGGTTAATGATATATTACTTGTTTGTGTAATTTATATGGGTTTTCTATATTTACTAGTACTCTAGCATATAATTAGGTTGTTCCATAGTAATAGTCAGTTATGAGTATTTTGTAACAAGCCTCCTCAAACATAATGGTCTAGGTATAAATAAGTGTTTGTCATGTCACATACAACTGTATCATTTCATATCAATTTATTACAAATGATTAGATTAAATAAACATTTATTGTTTATAATTTCAGTTTAAATCATTTAAGTGCTGATCAAATAAAGATGGTGAATCAAGCTTTGAAAATGTTCAATGATCCTGATAAATCGGTACCAGAGCCTACTTATGATCCGGTTACCAATACTAAGTATATTTACAAGTAAGTTTTGCTATGTCATTCTACTAATATTATAAATGCTCCTTCTCGTCGAAACGGCTGAAGAGATTGAGGCGACATTTAGTACAGAAGTAGATTATGGTGTGGAATAACACATAGGCTACTTTTTATTTAAGGTAGTGTGTCATAAATATAGAAGTCACTTCTTTGATTGATAAGTGGACAACTAGTTGTCCATAGTCATGTTTCTAATTGACACGTCCATGTGGTGTTTACTGATGACTAACGATTTTCTCAACCATGTGGTGATTTAGGTAAACACCACATGCTAAAGAAAATCTTATTAGTTTCACTTCGTCATGATTGTTATAAGTATTTTCATGATTTTTATAAGTAGTTCAAAAGTATACTTATGTGTGTAAAATTGTTAAATAACAAATTGCAAATTTTTTCCAAAAACGGTTCAGTATATATGCAGCATGTGCTATGTTTTTATAATATAATAAGTGAATGATTTTATGTTTCCCTATTTGTAGACATTTTATTTAATATATATTTTCAATGTTTTAGGGTGGTATCTCCAAAAGACTTGACAGTGGTTGCTAAAAAGAAGATTTTGTTAAAAGATCGAAAGCATCAATTCACTAGAACCCCTAAAAGAATAGAAGCAGAGAAAATCGTGAAACATACGCCACCAGAGAAAATTGTGAAGCAAGTTGTGACTAAAGAGATTCCAGTGCAAAAAGAAATTATTGAAGAAGAGGTTGAACCACCGGCTGAGGTAAACTTTTTCATAATGTATACCTATTACATACATACATATAATTGATGCAGCCATAATGAAAATGTGTCTGAGCATTAAATAATTGTCAATAAAACAAAAATTGTGTGATAAGGAAAGTAATAGAGAAATAATTTAAAAAACATAATCTGTTTGTGTGTTTGTCTTTTTGCACACTAATCTTTAGATCTGATGGACGGATTTGGTTGAAACTTTATTTTGTAGCTTACAAACTCGGTTTAAACATTATAGGGCATATTTTGTAATACAAAATCTGTCTAAAGTCTAATAAACTAATCTACATGGATGAACTTACTATAATAAACTATAATCTATAAAGAAACTAGTCTAAAATAATCTATATCATAAGTATTATGCCATTAAAAAGGAAATAATAAATACCGGCTTTATTTTTAGGCCAAGGTAACTAGAAGTGGTCGAAAAGTTAAACTGCCCAAACAAATATTACCAGAGGGATCACCACAAAAGACTAAGAAGAAAAGTGGTACCATTGTGTCTTGTTTCCAATGTTCTACTGTAAGGAAATCAATAATAATCAATATGTTTTTAAAGACTACAATTAATATTTACTATTATTAAAATGTTTATAAAATACTTTTACAGGATTTCGGCAGTCTGTACAGGCTTCAAAAACATTATGAAAATCATCCCACTCACATACCCGCAAAAATCCATTCCAATTTATTCCATTGTTTACTTGCTATTATCAAGAGTGGCTCCAATGGAAACAAGACGAACATATTTATACAGCAACTGGAACAACTTATTGTTAAATTGAAATCTTTACTACCATGTTTACTGAGCAAAGTAGAAGGTACTGATGGGCAACCTTGTACAATCAATGAGGATATTGGCCGGTAAGAATAGAACTATATTTGTGGCTATTTGTTTTTCTTTAGTTATTTTTCCGATTTCTTATATTTTTAATGATCTTCCAGATTATTTGGCATGAATCCCGGCAAATACAACATCGATGTAGAAGCATTAAATTGTGTAAAAGATAAAAATGGTTACTGTATCCACAATCCTCCAAAAATCAATCAAATTAATAAAGATCAAATTAAATCTCCACATTTACTTAAGAATATGAATGAAATATTAAATCCTGATAATGAAACTGAAAATTGTGCAAGAATAAACTCAGTGGCAAAGTGGCCCACTGTGAGCAAGAGAATTTGGAAGCTCAAACCGAAAACTCATGAACAAAGTGCTAAAAAAATGAGACTGAAATCAGAAGGAGACACGCTCATAGAACTGGGAACAGAAGACTTCGCTTTTCCTAAAGATGAAAAGAACAATTCTAATGCTGTAACTGTTATTCCCGATAATAATATAGAAACAGCAAATATTATACCTGAAGATGAAGTGGCGAAATTGTTGGAGAGTACAAAAGACTGCGAAGTCAACTCTGAACCAGGGACTGAACAGCAGACTGACGATATCACCATGAAGGAACTTAGTAAACCAAAAACTAACTACGTAAAATTCCACAGTACGCACTTCGATATTAGATCCTCGCCTATAAAATCATCTTCAACAGTGTTCCGTAAATTCCAGATAAATCCCAGTAAAATGGCTAATTATGATGGACAGGTTATTCGGTCATTAGAAATGGTTAATAAACCTAACAATAAGAATGTTCCTCAGAAGAAATCTAATGGACTACACAATTCAGGGAACAATACTAATTTACAAAGTAGAGAAAACACTGTTCATATCAATACAAATCCTACTCTAAGTGTCAGACGTGACCTCTTAGACCCAAATAACAGTATACAATTAAGTATACCTGATAGTATACTTGACTCATTGACAAATTCAGATAGTAACCACATTGACATGGCATCTAATAATAACTTACGATTGCACTCTGTGACTGATTCAAATGGAATACAACATGTTACAGTCCTAAATTCAGAAAATGAACTTGATGTTGATATGTTAGACTCTAATAATGATACCCGCCTTGCTAAACCTGCTTCACCTGATGATCTGCATGATGATATGTCAAATATTATAGTCGTTGGAGGAGATACTCCTATTTCTCACCCGAGTAATGATTTACATGTTACCATAGATGATACTGACAGAAGGTTAGATGTTAATATGCCAAATTCAAATAGTATACAATATTTAGTTTCAACTACAGGTACTAGTTTACACGATCTGTTCAAAGATGATGTGGACTTAGGATGTAAAGATGTAGATGTGATAGACCCTGATTTAAAAGACTGGATTATAGGTACAAGTGAGAAGTCAGAAGATGGTTTTAGTAAGTCCAGTTTGATGGAGCCGGTGTTGCTACATAGTGAGAAATCATTAGACTCGAAAACATTAACTCAGTGCAATGACATGCCAACATTAGATGACTCATCTGACAATCGCCTTCTGTCGAGTCAAGGCGAATCAGTATTAAACTTTTTAGATACACTAGGCAATGACTTATACCCTGAGACTGAGATTAGAAATAATGGTGTGGACTTCCAGTTGGATCTGTTCGCATTTCATAATTCATAGTATAGTAGCGACTAAGAACAATTTTAGTTTTAAGAATTTAAGAAGAAATGATTTAAGTACATTATATTTTTAGAGAAATAATAGATTTGTACTTATTGGCATATTAGTTTATTTATCTTATTATTTATATATGTATTATAGTAAGTATCAATGAGATTAGGTGAACTGCAATTTAGAAATGTAGGTGAAAATGAAAATGTAATTTGATAATGTATCTCACAAATCAACTTTAGAAGCTAAATTTAGATTTTGTATTCACTTTAGATCACTGATTGTGATAATAATGTAAAGTGTGTAAATAATGCTAGATGCATTATTCTACATAAATGCAATATGCAATGAATTACTGGTACAATTGATTTGTATTGTGTAAATAATAAATTGGTATATTAAAAGTAAGAGTTTTTCAATTTATTTTTTATTTTCTATTTTATTTAGTTAAAACAAAGATTCAACAAAGAAAATAAAAATGCAGAAATGATATTTCAAACAAATGTTTTTTTTCTTTGTTTTCATTCAGAGAATTTGATACATAATTATGTACATACATTGCAATCCTTTAGTTCAAAGATATATAATTATTTTTTATAAACTATTTTATAACATAACTTATGTTGTAAAAATAAAAATAAACTATCCTAAGCTTGTAGAACTGGTCTCTCATTCTTTCCCTCCAGTTTTTGATTAGTGAGGGCATATCCTGTACCCCCTCTTTGAAGAGGGATGATGTCCTTCTCCTTCAACTTGTCACCAGTAAGTGGGTGCAGCCAATCCTTCTTGATGATCTTCTCAACACATTCCATGGTGACCACATCACCAGTAGTTCTGAAAATGATAAACAAAAAAAAATAAGTCTTATCACAAGAATAGTAAGCTAAATACTAATACAAAAGTAGTGACTTTAGTAATATAGTGAAAATATTTGTAATTTATAGATTAATTCAATTTTATCTATATTATAGCAAACCCCTCTAAAGTTGAGTGGGCTCAGTTCTGCAGTAGATTGTCATTGATAATAATAGTAGAAAAATTGGGAAATGAGTGATAATTACCTGATAATAGCACATGGGACAGCATTACTGAGAATATCATGAGTAACAGGACACATGTATCTATTCTCCTTAGCAATTAGTGACTTCTTGTCATCTGGATCATTAACTAAAGTCCATTTCACATCAATTAGGTCCTTCATTTTTAATGGTTTCCCACTTATTGGGCAATAAACTGTGGAGTCAGGTTTTTCAATCTTTGTGATTTTAGCATCTGGTAGCTCAGAGGGCAACCAAAAGCTTGGAAGTTTCTTTGCTTTCCCATTTGAGAGATTTGACACTGATGATGATGAAGTCGAAGCTTCCGCCTGTTGATTGTTACTCGAGATATTCTTCTCCCTGTTCATGAATTTGATCAAATTTGACTCTTTCTCAGCCGCCGCCAATTCCGCCTTTTCTGCTTCCTCCTTTTTCAACTGTTTCTCGTACTTACTCAATTTCCGTGAATATTCATTCTTTTTCGCGACTAAGTATTTTAAGATTGCTTCTTTATCAAACAAGTATCCTTCTTTTGTAATCACTGGATTTCTACAAGGTTGTAGGGTCAAGCTGCAACAATCAAAATTCTTGATAGAATCTTTCCCCAATCTCTCACTTTGTGTTCCGTATCCAGAAGCTGCAGCGTCTTTCTTCTTTTCGTGGTACGTGTATACGGCACCCGCCGTACAGTTTCTTGCGTGTCTCGTCATTATTAATTATTAGTACAAAAGTAAACAGCGTAAATTAAAAACACCACACACAATCCCGAATTGAGTCCATGAATTGAATTGACAACAATACAATGACAAGTATGTGAAGACTGAAAAAAGTATGACAGTCAAATATTGCCAACGACAATAGTTTTTTTTTTCTTCTATGGCAAAACGACAATAGTTCTATGAGTACAATACACACAGTCAGTGAAAACAATGAAGCGTGCGCACATAAACACGACCAAAGACAGAATGAGTCAAGGAATGAAAGAACGATAAAACCGACCATTCATACAAATGAAAAATACCACAGGCGTAGGACGAGTAGAATAATCGACTATCTGTGTTCCGGAAGTGAGTCACTGCCTTAACGAGGGAATAAAATAGAAGACATTTTAGTTTAGAGTTAGACATTTGAAATCAAACGTCAACTCGACATACGTCGACGTCTCGATTTTTTCATGTTTACATTTTATTTCCATAGTTTCACGAGTTTCTCTTTCGTGATAGGTGGTTTTTGAGGGCAGTTCGATATAATTTTAAACTGACGATAAAATATATCTGTGATTAAAGTAATCTAATCTAATAGATTTAATTATAATTCACTCGCAGTGATAAAGTTTTTGAGTGTGTCGACCTAGTTCATATTAACATATTGAAGACATACATTTAGTGTGTAATTATTTTGTGTTTTAGTTTTGTGGTGATTTTTTTTAAGTGAATAATGAACTTATCGTTTGCGGGTTGTGGTTTCCTTGGTATTTACCATGTTGGTGTTGCAGTGTGTTTTAAGAAATATGCTCCTCATCTGTTGTTAGGCAAAATTTCTGGCGCCTCTTTTGGCGCACTATCAGCCTGTTGCCTGCTGTGTGATCTGCCTATCGGTAATTATTTTTAAAATATTTTTTTTTTCATTCTACGGATTACAATTCAATATTTGTGATAGTTTTTCTGTTATTTTAAATAATTATTTGCATAGTAGATGATAAGATTGCATACTTTATTTATTTAACATTTTAACATAGGGTTGTTAATTAAATGTGATCTTCATCAAGTATGAACGAGTAGGTATGTGTTACAAAAGTAAATAAAATTATTATGACTTGTTCAAAGTGCATTAATTAATTCTGTACAGCCAATAATATTATCTAGCTTCTGGAATTAGTCATCACAATATTGTAATAAAGATGATGAGACAAGGCCACAGTAACTAACTCGTAATCTAACACTGGAACTTTGTTTACATATCCACCCATGTATAGAAAAACATAACATTCAATTTTAATTAAATATCTACTTTGAGAAACTTGATATTGGGTACATTTTACAATGACTGAACATAATGAAAAATTGATGTGATGTGATGCAAAGAAAACTTTACCTTATGTTTATGTGGAATTGAGTTTGTTGTGGCATGGTACTGAGTAATGTTCTGCAGGAACATTTATTAACTTGCTTTATTTGTGTCAGTATTTATATTTTGTAAGGCTATCAGTTAGAAATCTTTTACTATGAAACGGGTAAGGAATCAACTAAGTAATAAATGTTATTTACATTATTTTGTGTCTAGGTAAATTAGTTTTATTAAGAAAATAAATATTTAAATACTATTTAGTCGGTTAGATAAAAAAATATGGAATAGAAGGTTCAGGAAATTGGCACTATACATAATTTTACAAGGTTTCTCAGAATATGGGATTCTGCCAAATAATTTCTATGATTGGAGTATTACATGTATTATTATAATATTGCGCTAATTATGCAGGATATTATAAAATAACAAATAGGTACAATTAAGTAACATGCTGGCTTCTATGTGGATGGTTACAAACTTCCAAGCATTTGGTTTAGGAGTTACTGAGGGAGGCTTATGTTCACCTGAGTACATCTTGTGGCTTATATGATGATGGATTATTGATGATGTTACTCTGTTATAAAAGTAGGCAAAAGTAATTTGAAATATTGCAGATTTTTATTCATGCATGTTGCAGTTACTGCACTTTTTAAAGTTTGAAATTTTAACCTTGCATAACAAGATATTATTGATATCTGCGATTATTAAAATTAGGATAAAAACCCAATTTCAATATTTTTTTTCGCAATCGTGTTACAGGTACTAAGTACTTAAGTACGTACTTTCTTATCACAATTTAAAACAAAAATTTCTCTTTCAATAAAAAATAATGAGAAGTTTTGCAAACAATCACCTGTGGATGCATACCTATTCAAACGATCGTTATATACTTAGTCTCTCGACTTGAACGCTAAACAATCGTCGCGCATCAATTGAACAATCGCAGTAATATGCTTGAATAGTCTCGCATTTAACTATAAGTGCACACATCCTCAATGTTCTCATTATTAGCATACAATAATCTTAACAGCTGATGTCCTATATCCGTAGGTTATTGACACGAGCTGATAACGTCACATAATTAACCCCAGATTTGCTGATAATATTGTATTAGCTTGTTTCCAACGCAACTGTTCCGAAACTCGTAGATAGTCTGTAAAAAAATCGATTTATTATAAACTAGCGACCCGCCCCGGCTTCGCACGGGTGTAATATGTATGTATTATACACATAAAACCTTCTTTACTTGTGAAGTGACCGCTCGGTGTTTGACAGTTTAAGAATCACTCTATCTATTAAAAAAACCGCATCAAAATCCTTAGCGTAGTTTTAAAGATCTAAGCATACATAGGGACAGACAGATGGCGGATAGAGTTTGTTTTATACTATTTAGTCATGAATAAAAACATTTTTGATAATAATACTATTTCGAAAACCGTGTCAAAATCGGTACAGCTAATCTTGGGATAATCGCAGACAAATATACATAGCTACATCATAGGTACAGGTCAAAGTGAGACCAAGCTGATTTTCACACGCAGATTCGAAATAAATATCGGACACTGGGGTTCCGTCACCATAAACGATGGGCAATTATAATATTGATCGAAGTTGTTCGCCCACCCACTGCGCCAGCATTCAGTTGGCTGCTGCAATTTAATTTGACATGGCAGAATCAGACTAAAAGGTTTTTTTTGTATGAACGTCAAGCAATCAGCGTCTACAAACATACGGATTGGCTTGAATAAACGGTTACCGTAGAGTAGGCTAAGTTCCTCTGCAAGATCAGACGAATCACGAGTGCGTTGCCGACCATAACTAAATTAAAAAAATTAACCACTTTCGTATGTTCAACAGGTGAGATCACGACAGATGTGTTAAGGGTCGTTAGCGAGGCGAGGGCGGGCTCCCTCGGGCCTTTCAGCCCTTCTTTCAACATACAAAATGTCCTCCTCGAGGGCATGCAGAAGTACCTGCCCCACGATGTCCACAAGATCGTCAGTGGCAAACTTCACATTTCCCTGACCAGGGTGTATGATGGGAAGAATGTTATTGTCTCCGAGTTCCCCACGAGGGAAGATTTGTTACAGGTATGCATTGCTAAAACAATAACATGGTAACAACCATTAAAAAGGTTGGGCAGATATCAGAATGTACGTTTTGCATGTAAAACCTAACAGAATCTATCAGGTATTTGCAGTCTTCGTAGTTATCGATGAAGAATTTTGAAAATGGAAAATACAACACTGCAGTATTCGAAAATTTATCCCGTCCCGCCACTTCTTCAGCTGTCCCTTATATTGGCATGCACTCGAATTATAAAGCAGTACCTACCTAACTATTCATAACAATTAATACCCAATCGTATAAGTGTAAATGACCCTAACGACCTATGGTCCTCCTTCATTACCATTTATTTTATAATTTAATTGATTATAGTAAATTTTCATTATCATATTATCAGTAACACAAGAAATAACTGCGTAATATTTGTTTTTGCGTGAAACAAAATAGTTATTTCGCACTTTGCGTAACATTTGTTTTTGTCGTACTTGGACTCGGAAACTGTGATGTCATAATCGTAAAGTGTCGGTGAGCGACAAGCGTAGTTACTTCCTACAATAATAACGTTTAAATGACGAGCAATGTCTACATGCTCTAGTTATCTACATTTAATCCAAATGTATGTCAAATACTTACATGAAAAATGCTTTGATGTATTACTTACATAACCTGCTTTGAACGTGGTTCGCATTTTTGTAATCTGATTTAATTTACTGTATCATAAATAATGTCCAAGATTTTATGAAATAACCATTCATAAAGTAATAACAATCTAAGTAACTACATCTTACTATTTCTGTTTCAAATGTCAAATAGTTTTCCTAAAAGTTCCTAGATATTTCTGTCATATCATTCTTGTCATTCCTCATTCATATATCCACGTTTGCTCTTCATCCTTTCATAACATCTATTAATTAAAATATTCTGGTATTTAAACTCTTTGGTAAAGTTTGGTGTTCTAATTTTCAAATTATATTGTTAGGCGCTGTTGGCGTCGTGTTTCGTGCCAGTATTCTCTGGGCTGCTGCCCCCTCGTTTCCACGGCATCCGCTACATGGACGGTGGTTTTAGCGACAACCTGCCAGTTTTAGATGAGAACACAATCACCGTCAGCCCGTTCTGTGGTGAGAGCGATATTTGCCCCAGGGATTTGAGCTCACAGTTGTTCCACGTAAGTATTATTTTTGTATGTAACTGAATCGATGTAACTGAAGTTATTTTCAGAGTAGCAAGTATTAAAAAAACTAATTGTTAACTAAAATTAAACTTTATACTTAAGCAATAATGTTTTATCCTAATATCATTATACTGCATATTTTGTAAAGTCGTAAGGTGCATACTGATGTCATAGGACATTGGCAACAGAGCTAGGTAACTATGCTTACTTGTTGCATATATATATTGTACTTATTACATACAATGAATAGTTAATGAGGCATTGTAATGTATAGATAGAAAGACAATTAAAATTAACCTAAAGTCATTGATAAAACAGACTAGGTATACCTACAAAAAGTGCCTAATAAATCTAATATTTTTTTACGACTGTGAACAAAAGCCCATTTTTCATTAAAATTCTTATTAAAATATGATTTATTAAACGTAGTTCTAAATAATGCCCCATAATAACATTACACTAATGCTTAACCATTTAATCTTAAACTGTTGAAGAAATAGTTACGTGACTTATCACATCACGTAACATGCTGTGAAATCACGCCATATTCAAGTCTACGATGCGCAAAACCAGTCCTATTATAAATGTTACCACAATAGTTATTTATAA